TTGTCCAAAAGCATTTTCTTGTAGAAAGATCTTGTAACCGCGACAGAAGTTGTAATCAATGTGCATTTTTCTCGATTGATGCTGGTTCTTGCAGCAGGCATCATTTCCGTAAACGGCCAGCATCCAATTTTTCCGTCCCACCACGATTGTTTATTGTGATCCCATCGTGGTTTAGCCACAGCACAAAGTACCATAATCTATTTTGTAGTTTGACATGTATTTTGCCGCAAAACGAGTTGTAGAAAGATCTTGTAACCGCGACAGAAGTTGTAATCAATGTGCATTTTTCTCGATTGATGCTGGTTCTTGCAGCAGGCACCATTTCCGTAAACGGCCAGCATCCAGTTTTTCCGTCCCACCACGATTGTTTATTGTGGTCCCATCGATGTTTCGCCACTGCACAAAGTACCATAATCTAATTTGTAGTTTGACATGTACTTTGCCGCAAAACGAGGTGCAGTACCTTTAAAATGTAGTTCTTGTTTTTCACGGATCGTGGCGGAGGAGTTTCACCAGTCACACCGTAAAATGTGCACCTGGTTGCTTTGAGAAAGAACCATTTTTCATCAACATGGACATAATTGTCCATGCTGGCAACAGTAAAATCCGAGCGTGTGTGGCTTAGAGCCCATTTGCTACGGAAGTACATGTTAGATGGTGATTTGTACTCATCAGCGACAGCACACACTACTCCCAAGGGTAAACAGCCCTCACATGACACCTCGAGGAGATGTTTGAATATCTCCTCTCGTTGCCAGGCCTTGATTTTGACCTTACTCTCTGTTCCAGTAGCGGTCAGAAGTTAAAAATTCTGAATAAAAAATAAAGTAAAAAAAAAGCTATTGGATGAGTTCGGAATCCATAAGGTCCATGAAGACTTGACGTAATCCCCACCTTCCGATAATTTATTATTAACTTTTTTTAATGGCAGCTTGGGATTCCATGGTTCCAACACCGACGGTCACCACGACATCGTAATCCTCTCACATTGTATAATTGTGAATACATTGATTTTTTCAGGTTGCACGATGAACACACTGGTTGCCCCCCACGATAGAACTGGCTTTTCCACTTAAAAGGGAACAGACTAAAGTATTAACGTAGTGAATCAGTGATCTGCCGCTTTAGTGGCTTCCTTTCTTCATTGATAACCAATGAACGGCTGGTCATTTTGACACCGGGCAAGGAACCCCCCGTGCGGAAAATCAAGGGCTTTTCAATGCTAAGACGCAATTATCAATTCAGGAAGTTCCCGAA